CGTCACGGTGGAGGATCAGGTACTCGACGTTTTCTCTCTGCCAATCTCCCTGTCGATGTTGGCGCGGCAGAGTCGCTGTTGACACGTTTTGCTCGTCTGCCAGGGGCTGCTAGTGCCGGTGCCCGTCGAGGAGGTGGCCATGTATCTCACCAAGGGGGGCAGGCTCTGCCGGACCCGGCTCAGAGAGCCCTCGGCACGGACGTCACGGTGGAGGATCAGGTACTCGACGTTTTCTCTCTGCCAATCTCCCTGTCGATGTTGGCGCGGCAGAGTCGCTGTTGACACGTTTTGCTCGTCTGCCAGGGGCTGCTAAGCTGCCCTTTTCTCCTCCGCTTCCTCCCTGGCCTGACATGTTTATAGAGGGAAAACCGTGGGGTTTGGGAGGAGTATGCCTCAAGGAGCCAGACCCAGGCCAGCGGCAGAGGGTGTGTACACCCCTGACTGTAATGCATGTCCCCAGGCAAAGCTAAGCCAAGAGTTTTAGACAGTTGGTGGGGGCGGCATTTATTAAATTAACCCACGTCCCAGTTCTCCAACGCCGTCCCATGGCAAAGTGAGGTACAAATCACAGCGCCCCATTTTTGTGCCTGTAAAAAAAGTTACCAAACAATGATATTATGACAGTTTTGGGGAGAAGATTGATTTGGATTTTCTTTTTAAAAGCTAACACCCGTGAGCAGTCACCGTAGTGCGAGGTGGCAGAAATCTCCTCTGCACCCCAGCTAGGACTGGGAGAAACCGACCATGAGACTCTGCCCACCTGGGTGTCCGACCAGACCCGGGTACAGTTGTCCATTCCCCAGCTGCGGGCTCACAAAGCGTTCCCTGGGCGTCCGCCCGTCCCCTCCCTTTCTTACACTCAGCCCGGGACTGTGAGCAGTCACCGTAGTGCGAGGTGGCAGAAATCTCCTCTGCACCCCAGCTAGGACTGGGAGAAACCGACCATGAGACTCTGCCCACCTGGGTGTCCGACCAGACCCGGGTACAGTTGTCCATTCCCCAGCTGCGGGCTCACAAAGCGTTCCCTGGGCGTCCGCCCGTCCCCTCCCTTTCTTACACTCAGCCCGGGACTCCTCATGACTCCGGCTGCACCTGGGGCCCCAGGACCACCCGCAAGGCCTCAGGCCAGCCCAGGGGAAACGCCGGAGCATTTCACTCTCCCTGCCTGCCTCATAACCCCCAAGAGAAATAAAAATACAACCCCTGGGACCCAGAGAAGGGCCTCATCTCAGGCACAGGGGAGAGGCTGCCACCCCTATGACTGGGCTCCTGCCCCCCCCCATTCTTCTTCCCCTGTGCAAGTGCTACCTCTGCCTCCATTTCTAGCTAAATGAAGGAAATTCAGGGAGCCCGGCTCCCATCTGCCATCTGATCTGCAGCAGGAAGGGGATTTGCTCTCCCGGCTGCAGCAAGTGGAGCCTGAAATGCGGG